GAGTTGTGGGAATTGAACCACAGCAACCTGAGCCTGACTGCTTTGTTGAAGCAGCCCCTTAAAGAACTGAGGAAGGGGCAGGCCCCCATACTGCAATAATTTTTAAATTTTAAACATTTACCCTATTTATGAGCACACACCTCATACATGTGTGAGCCAATTCACAGTTTCTGTCCCCACAGCATGGATTTTCTCTTCATGCTGCAGTGTAGGGCAGAGGTCGTCTAGTTGGATGACCCCCTTGGGGTTTTGGAGGGACAGTCACAGGCCGGAGGGCCTGGATGTTTCCGAGGAATCTGCTTTCATATCCTCAGCTCATTTATTTCTTCTTTCTCTCCAGCGAATCTGCCTGAAAGCAGATGAGAACAGGAATCCCCACCCTCTTGCCCTGTGTGCTTTGCGATGCCTGAACGTTTGACAATCTGTAGAGCCCCAGACCACGCGATAGTCTGAAATGCTGGTTTTATTTATAAAAGCGTAGTTTGAAAAGAAAGGGACTCAGTGCAGTAAACACAGTTATTCTCTAATGGTGTTGTAATGAATTTTTCTTTTTTTGAAATTTTGTTTTATTTTTCATAAAAGAGTGTTTTTATATTTTCTTTTCTTTCTTTTTTTTTTTTGTACCAGGGATCGAACTCATGACCTTGTGCTCACAAGGCAGGTGCAAGTACTGCTGAGCTATCCCCTCAGCCCCCATATTTTCTTTATTGATGTCTACTTGGATTTCATTAGAATAAAATTTTTAATAATACTAAAAGAAAAAAAAGAAAGTGACTAATGACTAGATTGAATAACTTTCATAAGTCTACTGGTTTCCATGTCTTTTCTCCTAGCAAAATGGTACCAAAATTTAAGTGACCATTAGCCAATAGAAAAATAAAAACAACTTGGATGTTAGATCAGGATGTATAATGCCATACCACCCTGCACATGCCCAACCTCATCTGATCTCAGAAGCTAAGCAAGGTTGTCCTGGTTAGGATTTGGATGGGAGACCACAATGTGAATCTGACCGTATTAACTGAGGATGTCACAGAATCATGTAAGGTTGCTAAAACAGAAGTCCATTACTATTAGTTCATTTTACACACAAGCTTTCTTGGATGATAAATTTATGAAAATGAAAAATAGGAACAGAATAGATGTGGAGCCTTGGCTCTTTCTATGAATGAATTTTATTCATTCAAAAATTTCATGTGAAAGTTCTTCCTCTCTCTGTTAACCTTCTAGAAATTTCACATACATTTCCAGCAGAACTTTACTCTTGAATAATAGTTATTTTTAAAATGCATAATGTTCATTTTTTCTCAATTGTGGACTGAAAGCAATAATACTTATAACTTATGAAAAATCTAATGTTTAGAGACTTATTGTCACTGAAAACTTTAAAAGAGTAAAAGTCAACGAATATATAATGTTGCACACAGAAGTGTGGTAAACAATAAAACATTTTCTACATAAAGTATATTAATTTAGGATAAAAGTATATGGGAATAAAAATATGCACTTAAAGCACAAAATGTTTGATGTCAAATTTTATACTGTTAGAGAACTCATTTTTATGGAATGACAGTGTAAGTAACCAATTGCTATTGTATTTATACTCTCCTGGATGCACTTTAAAACAATGTAACAGTACTATGTAAAAACCAGTATTACAGCATGCTAGAAATTAATTTTTCACAGTTATTTAAACTGACAAGAAATTACTATACCTGCGTAAAAATACATGTGATGAGTTTTCAAAATTTAAGGAGTTTCATAGCAAGTGTTTAAAGATCAGTAATAATCTGCACAGGAGGTAAAGTGTTTCCAAGGAATGAAACCACGGATCTTCAGGTGTATTTTCTTTGTCTTCCCAGTTTGACCTTGTCTGTGTTAATGCGTGGATGCTGGACCTTAGCCAAGCCATGCTGAACCTAGGCTTCCTGGCGGGGGCCTTCACGCTGGGGTATGCAGCAGACAGGTGGGTACAGAGGCGACAAGCAGCTTATGTTGCTATGACGTCACACACATATGAAGAGGAGTGTGTTAACTGTTAATAAATAGGTTTGCTAAATTTGGAAACAGTTATTTCATTCTACCAGTCATGATGTTAATATTTGTTTGGTTTGACAGTTCTGCCCTTCTCACGCTTCGTCTCCTTGCTCCTTGAACTAGATGAAGGGTGAAGTTGTTCTTGGGTCTGAAAGTGTACAAAGGAAAACAGTCCAGCAGGCCGTGGGATCACAGCTGGAATGCCTAGATGTTGTACTGGATGGTTGTGGTTTGATTAATATAGCAATAAAATTAGCCAACTCCAAATTTATTTCCCTCTTTTTTTTTTTTTTTTCTTGGTACTAGAAAATGAACTCATGACCTTGCCCTTGTCAGGCAAGCTTTCTATGCCACTGAGTTACCCCCGCCCCAGCTCCTTGTGTCACTTTTTAAGAAAAGATTCATTATGCATATTCTTCTACAAATTTGAAACTCTGTGAGAAATAAAATTTTCCAAAAACTCTAAAAAATTTTTAGGTATTATTTTATCTTCGTAAATGGAACTGGCTGGCTGATGGCAGGTGGCAGTGGCAGTCTATAGGGAATTCCACTGTGCTTTCTGTTGGAATGTTCTTCTTTCTGACACTGTTGTTGGTCATCGTATACATGTTTAAATCCATTACTTTATCATAATTCTAATTATAAAAATATTTTCAGTGATTTGATAATTCTCTGTACACCTGAGAAAGAGGGCAGAATTAGAATCTTTGGCCTTCGGCCATATCTGGCCGGTCAACACTCAGGTCACTCCAGCCCAACCCTTGGTGGGTCCTTGTGGTCATGCTGTTCATCGGGCAGTGGTCAGGGGCCATTTCAGAGAACCATAAATAATAATTTTTTATGTATTTGGCACAAGGTCTCACTGTGTAGCTCCAACTCATAGTAATCATCTAGTTTTCAGCCTGCCCAATATTGGGATTACAGGCATGTGCCATCATACCTGCTCTTGGTGGCCTGCTCAGCATGCCCCAGGACAGGACCGGCACAGCATGTGGTGCTAGGAATCGAACTCCACAAATAATAATTAATTAGCTAATGCAACAATAAAATGCCCCAAATTCCATACTGAAAATGTGTGTTTGACCAAACCAGCACTTCTGGATGGGTAATCCTTGCAGTTTTTTCTTCTGCCATCTTCTCATCCTCCTCCAGTTTGTTCTAGTCCTCCCCCAAAGCTATCTTTAACCCCAAATTTCTCCTCTACTCTTTAGGCTTTGATACTCTTCCTTCTTGGCCTTCTCTTTTATCTCTGTCATTTTCTACTCTATTTGTGGCCTTCTAGGCCTCGTCTTTGCTTTCCTAATACCTATACCACCACATCTCACTTTCCTATTGCCTATAATTTGGAAGTGGATTATGTTTTCAAAATATTTATATTCTTTTGCTTTTAGTCTAATTTAATCTTTTAAAAAATAGATTATCCTTAATCTGCATTTTTCTTCTTCACAAGCTAAAGTAACTCAGCAGGACAAGATCTGCACAACCTAACCAGGGTTGAGTATCTGTTCTTGGCACTTTGAAGAGAATAAAGCAGACCTGGGAGAAAGACAGAACTCTGAATGGTTCTTCTTCTTCTTCTTCTCTTCCATGTCTGTGATATATATCTGTGAAAAAGAATATAAATAATTTAATAGGCCGTACAGCCATGAGTGAATACTTCAGGAGGGCCCAAGAGTGAATTTTAAATTATAGATTTGGACTTCCAGTTTTTAATTCAGTGTATCAGGAGTTTGAAGTCTTGACACAGTCCTAACAAATACAAAGCTGAAAAAAAAAATACTAAAAACAAAACAGCCAACAAATCTGCTTAGCTTTGTAAGAGATCTGAGGTCATAGGGCAGACTGCTACCTCTAAAACTGGAGAGACAGAGAAGCAGATGCAGAGAATTGCAGCTCACCTGGGAGAAAGTGTAGGTCGAGGAAGCCTGAGCTGAAGCTGGAGGCTCAACGTGGACAAGACTGAGAGTTAATCCGGCTACATCCACACACCTAAAGGCGCCAGTCAGAAGACAGATTGCAAGGATGGGCCAGAAAATAAGACCTAATGATATGTTGTCTATAAGAAACTTAAGTTAACTACAAAGATGCACAGAGATAAAAAGTAAATGGATGGAGAAAATTATACCATACCAACAATAGCAAAAGAAGATGGACACATCAGACAGAAACTTCGGAACAAGAGACATTGTCAGCAATAAAGATGCTCCTTGTATTATGATACAGTGATTGATTCTCCAATAAGATATCACCATCCTCAATATGTATGTGCCTAATAACAGTGTCCAACTATATGTGGCAAAATTGATTGAAAAATAGGTATATATAAACTTAATCCATATTATGGTTGGCTATTTTAGCAACTGTCCATTTGAAAGGTAAAAATCTAAGCAGCAGAAAAGCATTAGGAACATAGATGAGCTCAACAACATTACCCGCCAGCCCCACATAGCTGACATTTGGAGATTGTTTCATCCAACAATGACAGAGCACACATTTTTCTCACTTAGATGAAACATTCACCAAGGTTGGACTATGCACATTTTAATAAATTTTAAAGGAATAGAAATTATGAGAGCAGGGGCCGGGAAGATGGCTCAGTGGAGTAAGCACTTCCCTGGCAAGCTCAAGGGCCTGAGTTTAATCCCTGGTTCTGCAAAAAAAAAAAAAAAAAAAAAAAAGAAAGAAAGAAAGAAATTACGAGAGCATGTCTACTGTTATTATGTGGGATTGAACTAGAAATCTATAACAAGAAGTTGAGATTAAATATCATACTTCTAGTAGAACGTAGGTCAAAAAAAATCTCAAGAGAAATATAGAAGTAGTTTGAACAAAATGAAAATTAAATGATAATTCATCAACTTTTGTGTTTGGAGAACTGATTCAACTAGTGGAGAAAAAGGAAGAACTGAATTCGATTGTCTAGACTGCCTTATGGAACTCAAAAAAAAGCAAATAAAATGGAAGAAAAGCAGAAACAAACTGATACAAATTAAGTGAAAAATATGTAAATTAAAAACAGTAAGTCAGGGCTGGGAAATAGTTCAGTGGAATAAGTGCTTGCCTGGCAAGCACAAGGTCCTGAGATTGATCCCTTGTACTGCCAAAACCAAGCAGTCAATCGATGGAAAAAATCAATAAAGTCAAAATTTGGGCCTTTGAAAAAAAATTCTAAAATTGTTAAGTCTCTAGCCAGGCTAAGAAGAGAAAAGGTCAGCCCTTAAATTACTAATGTTAGAAAAGAAAAGACATCATTCAGATATCATGTACATTAAAATAATAATAGAGGAATATTATGATAAACTCTATGCATGCAGATTTGACAGCCTAAATTTGTTGAAAAATATAATCTGCCAAATTGACATAAGAAGAAATAAATGATCTGGGCCAGCCAAATAGCTCAGCGGATTAAAGTGCCTGCTTAGGCAGATGCAGGGGCTGGGAGTTCCATCCCTGGTCTTGCTGTATCGGCCCCACTCCCAGGGTATGCTGAGACTGGGCATTTTGGTGCATGCCTATAATCCCAGCACGTGGAAGGCTGTAAACAGGAGGATCACTATGAGTCCAATCTACACAGTGAGACCCTCTACCCCCTGTAGTCCCTGTCCTAAAATACAAAAAGAAAAAAAAAAAAAGAAAAAAGAAAAGAAAAGAGAAATAAATGATCTAGATAGGCCTGTATCTATTAAATGAGTTAAATCAACAATTAGTAACTTTTCAAAACAAAATACTAGGCTTAGATGTCAGTTGAATTCTACCAAACATTAAAGAAAGAAATACTAATTATTTTATAATTTCTTTTAAAAAGTGAAGTAGAATGGGGCCAGCAAGATAACTCAGCAGTCTAAAGCACCTGCTTAGGCAAGCTTAGGCAGGCACAAGCGACCTCAATTCGATCCCCAGCGCCACATGCTGTACCAGCCCCACCCTCAGGGTGGGCTGAGCTGGCAAAAAAAAAGGTGTATTTTCTGAGTTATTTGGTGAAACCATCATTACTTAATGCCAAATTCAAAGAGATTTTAAAACTACAAATCATAAATCAATATTTCTCATGAACATAGATGTAAAAACCTTAAACAAAATATTAGCAAAGAAAAAATTTAAATGTATGAAAATAGGGACAATGAATATAGTTCAGTGGCATAAGCATCTGCCTGGCAAATGCAAGGTTCCAAGTTTG